GCCAAATGATTGCAGATCTCATGACTTACAAGAGTTTAACTTTGGCAGGAAATTTTTTTTTTTATGAAATATAAGTTATCTTCGGCAGGAATTGATCAGCGCAAAGTACATAACTAAAGATAGGATTTGGAGGCTACAACCAGTTTTTGGAGGTAGATCAATGGAGACTGTTGGTGGATTTTTGGAGGTAGATAAATGGAGACTGCTGGTGCATATAAGGGCAGGAAAAGGACAATTGGTGGACTTTTGGGAGGAAAGGTGGCGCAAGGGAGTTTTTTCTAATACCTCCCACCCCAAAATTCTCTCTTTAGCCAACAGCACAGATATTTCATAGAGATTGACTATGATGGCAATGTCGTTGGAACATCCATCTAACTCGAAATCTAAATGATAAGAAAGTAATCAGACTAAGTACCTCGATTTGCTGGCTCTTTTGTCCAACTGTCATAGATCCTTCTGGGAAAGATTGCCATATCTAGTCCATTACCAAGAAGGCAAGGATGGGATGTTTTTGGTAAAATATCTACACATCTACCAACTCTCTTAAGCAAAATGGCTAACAGATTTTTATGGGAGCAGATTTGGAATTGTAAAGCAGCTACCCAGAAGCTTTCTTTGCTTGGAAAGTAGCTTGGTTTCGAATTCCGTTGACGGACAATCTAAGGAAGAGGCGAAAAATATTGTATATGGCTGCCCATCTTCCTCAGAGAAAGCAAATGTTCCAACCATCTCGTTGGTGTTTAGATGTTAGAGGATTCTAGAATTTTGCTTTAAATCTTCTTAATTTATCTTGGTTCATTTCCGCTTCAGCATTGAATGAGCTATGGACGGGAAGCAGAGTTGAAGTTTGTAAATCTAATAGAAATGTTAGTATAGTTATTCCGATGTCTATTTATTTTCCTTATTTGGAAAAGGAGGAGCAAATAAGTTTCGGAGGACTTTTTTTTAAAAGAAAAAGTATTTTAATATATTCAAGAGCACTAAAGGGTTGCAAACTCGTAAACAAAAGTACATACAAATTAATCAGGATATCAATTAGACCCCTCAAATCCTCGCTAGTATAAGGCTAGATTCTGTCCAACATGGGAATTCTAAATCATAAATCCTCAAATCTATCAATGTTATTTGTCCCTTTAAAAACTATTCTATTTTTTCCTTTCCAAATAACCCAAAAAGTGCCCAAAGCTTCTTTCGTTAGGATTAGAGATCTATGGTTGAGTATCTTGTTGATAGGGAATCCAATCCTTTATGATAAGAACTTGGGTAACTTGAATGATTCTTTGACACCAAATCTTATGTACCGTACAAGGGCAGCACCCTCTTGATGTCTCTTGATAATATTTTCTCTCTCCAAAAAAAATACCTCTCGAATTCTATTCCGTTGCAAATACATAATATGCCGGCAAATCATTTTCCTAAATACCAAGAAGATCAAGAACTCAGGATCTAACAATTATGTTTTTTCCATATAGAGGAGTCTGCTATAAAATGATGAATCTCCAACATAAATGATTATTTGTACTATCACAACAAATGAAATATTCTTACTATATAATTTTTTAGTTGGGCCTCGGAAGAGGATAATAACAGTTTATCACAATATATATCTTTTACGTCACATTTGTTATAACGAACTAAGTCCATCGTATGGATATACAAATGCATTAGAAATGAGATATAGGTTAGAACTAAAATCTTATTCAAATTCCATGCACAAGTCAAGCTAAGTGGATTTTTTATTCCTACTTAACCAAGTATAAGTAGAAATTCATTATCATGGAATTCAATATAGATGTAGAATCGGTGCGATTATTTATCAAATATGCACATTAGAATCTAATACTACATATCAAGCAGTTGTCGGTGTTATATTGTATCAGACACAACCAACTACTCCAAAGATGAAACTGTTAATGACCAGGACAAGCAAGAAAGACATAATGGGGAACGCAAAATGTGCTCAAACCCATCTTGCCAAAATGTATTGGTCCCAACTTTGCTGCCTAATATATCAATCAAACTATCCAAACACCTGAATTAATTTGTGAAAAAGTGAGTAACCTGCATCCCCACCTTAAAACACATGAGATCATTGCATGCACATGGGACTTATAATTCTAGTGCATTTAACCCAAGCACACTAGAGGTAGCAGAGTGCTTCTACGTCAGACATCAGCTCAAATATAAACAAAGATGCAACTGTAAGAAAAACAGACCCACCTAGATTCAAAATCTAAACAAACATGCAGCTCTTAGTAAAGCAGAGATCCATATGTAGAAGTTAAGAAGCAATTGAAGTGACCCCAAAGGTCAGAGACATATCCAATTGCTGTCAAAAGATCATTCAAAGAATTAAAAAATCAAAAGCCCACACTGTAAATGAAACCTTAGAAATAAAAGACTACCTCATGTAGTGAAAGTATCTGTTCCATTCGGTAGTCCACAACTTTGGCAGTAAGCCTATGAACCTCTTGACCATGTACTTATAAGATTTTGTAGATTCATTTCACATGAAATTTCATGTTACCAATAAGTCAGGGCGATAATTTTAAAAGTTTTATGTGTAACAGATAAAATCAGTGTGGTTACAAATTGAAGGCAAAATCTGATTTCAGATGCTTAACTTGTTGTATAACAAAACATTGAACCATAAAATTAAAGCTAAATGGTGTGGCATAGAGAAACCCACATCCTGATCCATTTGTAGATTGGAATCATCAAGTGTTCTATCCATGTCATTCATCAACGCATATTTCTTCTGCCCATAGTAATCCCAAACACGTACCTACAAAGAAAATGGATATTTGTCACCTAAGAACTTGGAAGAAAGATAACAAGGGAAAAAACACCAAGAGTGTTGAGGTATCTGAATATATATCTGTATTTACTTGTTCTAAGTTAAGATAAAAAATCTCACAGACTCTCCTGTAAAGCTCTCCAATAGTTTCCTGGCCAAAATAATTCAATCTCAAGTAAGTAATCAGCAGATGCTTTGGGGTGCTTTACACAGGATAGACTGAAGAAGCAGCAGAGAAAAGAAACAAAGAGAAACTATACTTTCTTGCTAATTCTTATAGTAGAGCGTTCGCCTTTTGGCATCAGAAGTAGCTGCAGGCGCAGAGGATACACCTCTACAGCCAGCTCCGTCTGAGAGAGACCTGAACTAATGACTTTACGTGCCAATGTTGGACCACCTCCATACCTATCATGACAATAGAACACGAGCATCACAAACAAATAAATAGACAGGATCCGGAAAGAAACATTTTGTTCACTATGAGTTTAATATGTCCATAGAAATATCCGAACACGCAAACACAAACAAGCAGAGAGGAATTGACAGGAAAGGCAAAGGAAATACACATTTTGTTGCCATATACAAAATGGTGCGGATTTCATATGACTCACCATGAATATAACTGGTTCCAAACTTCCTGTGGAAGCAATACATAATCACGACCTTCCTGAAGAGTATCATGAATCTCACTGCCCGGATGTGAGTCCTCTGATGTAGCATCATATATCAAATCCGAATTATCAATTCCAGACGGCCTCTTCGAGGTGCTTGAACCTGCTGAATCACAATGTTCGGACAAAGAGGATCCATCATTTGTGTTATTTGGCTGATCCTGGTTTACATAATCAATCCAATGCTGCCACCATCTGTTGGAAATTGATTAGAAAAATTAGTTACTTCAAAAACTCAACTCTAGCCAAAAGTAGAAGATTAGGAGCAGAAAATGGCAGCAGTCGAATGAGTAACTGGAAAAAAAACAACAAAACAATAGCCCTTCCTCCCAATAGCTAACCTAAAGTACAGGTGCAATAATACATACTAGTGGAAATATGAATTAAGCACATGATCCAAAGAAATTCCACGCGCTCTGGGTCCCCGAACACCTTCTTCTTTAACCACCATACTTATCTCAATTCCAATCACCTACATCTAGGATTAGCAAATGGTACTCAACTTCAAGGACACAATACAAAGTGACTAAAGCCTCGCCCACACACTACATATAGCAAATAAACGCTGATACAAGTACAAGGAAACGAACTGAATTCAATTGTTCTATAAGAGCATTAGGCATCTGCAAATGTATCACTATCTCAAGTTATATAAAAGTATAACAAAACAAAACAGAAAGGGGAGAATAACCCCCAACAGAAATTCTACTACACACTCGGGCTCAGTAGTGCAATGAATGTCCTAGTATCATCTAGTGAGTCCATAAGCACAAACTATCACCTAAAAATATTGTGTCTTCGACAAAGACATAATACCTAGTTCAAATGAATCCATCTTCCGAAACATTCTGGTAGACCTTAACCGCTATAGAAACGCAAATTGTCGAGAAGAAATTAACTCGTATCTAGACTCCCGTCAAAATGTAAACATCCATATTTTAAAAAATAAGAAGAAGAAGAACTACAAATTCAATAATCTGCCGACGTTATCACCCGAAATATCCAACATTAATAGGGCAAAACACATGAAATTAAAATTTACGAAGACGATACAATGGAAAACAAAAACCCTACCTATGAGTTATGAGATAGAAGGTATCGCCTTCTTTGGCGTTGGCTTCAGCGGCGAGCGCAATGTCTCTTATCAAAACTCTCTCTTCTTCCGGCGTCAGCTCTGTACTACTACTGCTACTGCACATCGACACTTCTGCCATTAATCGCCCCTTCCCTCTCTCTAACTCTCTCTGCCTCTGATCTGAGACAGAGAATCTCCGATATTGAGGCTTCGTATTTTCTATGTTCTTTACTTGCAGCCAAACCGTAAAATCGCAAGATTATATATAATTTTGTTCAAATTTTTTACCCTCGTCTTAATTACTTGACGGAGCGGGACTTGGCCCAATTTAATGACGGCTATCCGGCCGGGTCAGGCGGGCCGAATTTCTTGGGTCATTCCCCAATTCCCCTGTACAATTTTTTTTATATGTAATTTAATAACATATTGGTTTTATTTTAATTTTTAACTAAAAAAATTCTTCTGTTCACTTAAAATGGATAAGTTTTCTTATTTGATATGAATATTTTGGTGTTTTCAATTATTATTTGTATTTTTAATTTGCATTATTTAATATTTAAAATTTTTAATTTTTTATTACTCTAAATTAAAATTAGTAAACGTTTAATTAATTAGGCTATAAGTGATTTAATTATTAGGTAATACATGTTCATACTCGTGAAAAATCAAGTTTAAATTAAATATATATATACATATAATACATGATTTATACATGTTTATCAAATTAAATATATATATGACCTACTTAATATCTTATATATTTTAAAAATGTATAAGATAAAGAAAAACTTTATGGTAATTTTGATATTATAAGCTGTATATATCTAGTAAAACAAAAACAATAATTTAGAAAACTAAGAAAATTTTCATCCAATTATATTATAAATTTCACAGTATACAAAATCCTAAACTGTCTGGTTCACTACAAGTTCTAACTCGCCATTAATGGCGACAGGATCATTAACCTTCTGCTTTTGCAGGCCTTTATATTCATTTTCTAGTTTACCATCTTCATCATCATCATCATCATCATCATAAACCTCTTCCAATGGTTTACAAGTGTAAAACCAAGCACAAACCACATAATAAACCAGATTAACCACTTGAATTCCACTAACCAGCCAATAATAATACTCTAATCTTCCCCGGTTCAGATTCCGATCAGGCAACCAGTTATTTCTCTCTCCAGTATACTTATGCACCAGAGACACCAAAAGAGTACCTATATAATTTCCCACTGATATGGCGAACCAATACAGCGCAACCGCAGTGCTCCTCATGCTTTCCGGTGACTGATCGTACAGAAACTCCAAATGACCCACCGACATGAAAACCTCTGCAACTCCATGGAGGCAGAACTGAGGGACTAACCAGAACACGCTTATGGGGATGACGGCGGTTGGTTCATCGAGCAAGTTTTGAGAAGCCGCTACTGATTTTCTCTTCATCTCGACCAGTGAGGAGACAAGGGTGGCTAGGATGTTGACGGCGAACCCGATTCCCATCCTCTGCAGGCAGGTGACGCCGGTGGGGTCGCCGGTGAGCCGGCGAGCTAAGGGGACGAAGAGGCGCTCGTAGAGGACCAGGCCGACGAGCGTGGTGATGATGCCGAAGACTGACAAGCTGGCCGGTGGGATTTCGAAGGAGCGAGAGAGATGGCGGTTCATGGTGCGAGCTTGTTGGAGAGTGAAGCTATGCTGGTGCGACGATGCAGCTACCAGTAAGATTCCGGCGGCCCAGATGGGGAGCATTCTGATGATTGATTTGAGCTCTTCCACGCGATGGACGGTGGTGATTCTCCATAGATTTGGTTGGTCAAGATTCGTGGCTTCCCTCTCTGTCACTATAGCTGCTTTGTCAAACCATCTGTGTTTTTTTACACGAAAAAGAAAATAAAAAATTAATGCTCTATAATACTATATTTAAATAAGAATAATAGTTTCTGATATTTTATTTCTAAATATTTTTTAAAAAATATTTCTCTTAATTTTAAAACCATTTAAAAAACTTAAGACTCTTAAAATTTAGATGAAAAATCAGATCTGTCATGTGATCTGTTTGCAGAAAAAAAAAAGAATTAAAAAATAGTTAAAAAGTAACTAAAAATAAATTTTAATTTAATATGTTCAATTTTAATAATAATTAAAAAATTATAGATCCCATAAATTTTTATAAAATGATTTTTCTAGTAAAATTTAAGAATGTTAGTCTTTTTAATAAATTTAAAATTTTGAGGATTAATTTATAAAAAATATTTAATACTAATATATATTTTGGAAAGTAAATTAGGTATTTCTATTTAAATAATTATTAAATAAAATTTAAGTTAAATCAAGTTCAGTATAAATTAGGATTACTTGAACTGATCTGTGTGTACTAGTCTTCCATGAACCGATATAGCGGCATCAAGGTTCTTGTTCTGGTACAAGAGACCGGCATCTGTCGGTGCCACCGCCTTCCTCTTCTTCACGGCGGCGACGACAACCTGTGCCAATCTCACCAACGGGCTTCCTCCGGGCTTCAACTTCTTATAAAGCGAAGCACCGATCACGAAGGCGATAATTGACAGAGCCATGGCTATGGCTGGGAGGCCAAGGCCCCAGCCCCAGCCCACATTGTCTTGTATGTAAACGACGACGGTGAGCGCAGTCAGCGTCGCCATTCCCATGCAGAAGTAATACCAGTTAAAGAAGTTCCATTTCCTGGACTCTACGCTGGATTTTTTCATGTCGAATTGGTCGGCGGCGAAGGCGACGACGCAAGGTCTGATGCCGCCGGTGCCGATGGAGGTGAGGAGGAGGGAGATGTAAAGGACCCATAGCTGCAAAGATGAGGCTTCCCGGCAGTTTTTCTGGTCTGGACATGGCGGAGGCTGGAGGGATGGGACTACTGCTGATATGGTGATGCTAATCAGACCCTGCATCAATATAAGAACTGTTAGTAGATAATGATATAATTAATAAATTACGGTTCTTTGATTGTTTAATTTTATTATCTAAATAAATAAATATAGCAGGAGAGATGTAGAGGGAAGTAAGGACCAGTTCATAAATAATAGAACCGACGATGATGGTCCAGAACCGGCCGGCGACGGAATCGGCGATCAGAGCGCCGATCAATGGCGTGAAGCTGGCGGTGCCGCTGAAGTTGGTGAGAGTGTTGGAGGCCTGAACCAGCGGCAGGTTAAGGACTTGGGTCAGGTACGTTATCATATTGGCATGAAATCCAGTAGTGGCAAATCTATCGCATACTTCATTCGCTGTAAAAGACAAAAAAAAAAAAAAATTAGTGATAATCATAATTCGGCACTGATATTTATTCAAATTTTAACCCAAAAAACTAAAAATTATTATTATAGAGTTAATTATAATTAAATTATCGACATTAACAAAACAAATTCAATTTAATTATATATATTAATTGAGTAATTAAGAAAAATAATCATCGGCAATAGTGAAAGTTTCGGTGCTCTCGTCTCTACATATAAACTCCAAATTGTCTTTTCTAATGACCAGTGACAATATCAACATTGTTTGAACAAAAAATCACTGTGTCAAAAAACAACGACTTTGGTTAACCATATACATGTATACAAACATACATACATATACCCAAATATATGTGCTGTGTGTAAGCAGGTTGATATTTCACGCGGCACCCCTCTAATAAAGACAGAGAGAGATGGTCAGGTACTCCTATATATACACCATCTTTATGGCTGACCATTGCTTTTTAAATTGATCAGTTACTTCTTTGTCGCTGACCATTATATATACATATATATAAAACGTATATATGTTACATGCATCTACATATACATATATATATATATAGCTTCTTTCACAAGATGAGAATTAGTAATTAACTAACTATGTTGGAAATGAGAACTTACCGAGAATGAAAGGCATTGTTTTGATGCCTCCAAGCTTCTTTCTCCTCCCATGTTCTTCTTCTTTTTCTTCTTCCTCCTCCTCGTTCTCTTGTTTCTTGGCGCTATCAGCTTTGTTCTCGGCCAACTCCATTTGTGGCTCCATGCCTCTCGTATCCATTCGGCGATAAATCGAATTTATTTATAGGTCTCAAGTGACTGTAAAAAAATGACAAAATAAATAGTGGGCCCGGCCCGCCAATTTGACTGCTTTCTCCATGTGACGTGCTATCTTACGTCATAAATTTTATATTTTATTTTATTATTGGCTTATTTTTTAAAAGTTAAAAAAACTTCTATTTTTAGTATGTTGTAAAAAAATATATACGTATATACAAAAACAAGCATATTTTAAGAATGTTTCCAGCAATTTCTATCCATTTCTGTTCATTCGAAAAAGTGAAAACGAATCTTGAGAAAATTATAAGAGGAAAAGGACAAGGAAGTATTACTGTCAATCCACCCACGTGTCCGCAGTTTTCTGTCAGGCCGTGACCACCACCCATTAAAATAATTAATAATATAACACAAATTTTAATTCTAATAAATTTTAAATATTCGATTTTAAAAAAAATAAAACATAACTATTACATTATATAAAATTTTAAAAATAAAAATTAACTATACGTTGTATAAATTAAAAAATATGTATTAAATAAAAACAATATATAAACATATAACATTATAATAAAATTTTATTTTAGTTGCCGTAAAAATATAATTTTTTTTTGGGGGTAGTGTTAATGTGGGTTTCAATATAATAATTACTCTTATTATATGATCCATTTAATTCATTATGTAATTAATGATTTACATTATTAAAGAGATTAATTTTTTATAAATATTATTATTGATATGTCTGTAAATATTCATAACAAATTGGCATAAATTTATTGAAATTACAATATTATAAAATGAACACATGCCCATATGTTACATAATTAAAATTAGAAAAATTATGAAATCAAGTGATTATATACAAATATTTATTATTAAAAATACAATTTTATATATAGAGATACTAATCTATACACCTATTTGCTTTATATTAATGCACCCATTTAAAAAAAAAAAAGGTGAAAATGCCAGGACATGGCACAATGATAATATGCTACAATTTGGCATATTATACATTTTAAAATAAGGTTTCCAGCTGTACATGTATATTTTTTGTATTTATATAAAAAAGCTTAATTTATTTCGAGAAATCACAAGAACTTATAAATATTTTCCCATCCAAAAATTTAGAATTTTATTTATAAAGTTTATTAAATTAAATAGTAATTAAAAGCCTATTTGTCCAATTCTAAATAAGTTACACATTTGAAAACGCTATAAATACAAACATGAATGGTATTATAGAATTTAAATATTTTATTTAAAATACTAAAGTAAATTTAGTTTACGACACTTGTTATATAGTTTATAATATACTTTGTTTACAATTTAGTCATTAGTATTTATATTTACTTAAAGTTAAATTTCATTTAATTTAATAAAAAAAAGTTAAAGTAGTTAAATTATATTTAAATATTTTAAAAAATAATATTGACTAATTAGTTGATAATGGGTCAATTTTTATTATTAATTTACTTAGTTAATTAATTAAGTTTTAAATTATTTTTTAATCATTTTGATTATTTTTGCTAAAAAATAATGAGTTAAAACAAATAAAAATTATCAGAAACTAATTCATAATGAAAAAAATTAAAAATTAAAAATTAGTAAATATTAAAGTTGAACAAATTTACTAATTTTATCATATTAATTTTCATAATGCGTGAAAAAAAAAAAAGGAAAAATAAATGAGGCTGCACGAATAGCTCCGTGGAACCAAAACAGGGGAGCGAAATTTGCAGTCACTTGGGAATAGAGCGACCTTGGAAGAAGCAAACCGAGGCGTGGAAATAACAAGGCCTCTCTTCGACGAAAAATGGCAACAAACCAAAAAGCGTATGCAAACAGACATTGGAAACAAAATTAACCTGAGAAATTTACAAGGCAAGGAAATAGATGATCTCAAAGAAAGCAAAATCTTGGGCTAAAGCTTTGGTAGAAGAAGACTAGCTGCGACCCTTCTCCGTTTTTCTCTTCCGTTCTCTGTAAGTTCCCATCACAATTAATCTTTACTCTTAATATATATTCTCACACACACACACATATATATGTATCTATGTATATATGGTTTGCTCACATCGGTACATCTGATTGGCATGGTTCGATTCTGCTGTTAGATAATGTGGCTTGGTTGCAGTTCGTTGATTATGGTTTTTACTAGCTGCAGAAATGGGGTTTTGTTTTTTATTCTTAAATTTTTCATGCGATTTTATACATGTAAATATATAAATATATAATCCACATCCATGCTCTGTAAATTTTCTCATTGTAGGCATAATTTTTTTCCTGATTTAGTTCCTTTGGATAATGCAATTCTGTTAATGGACGTGGATTTTTTTTTTCTCATAATCAAAATCAAAATCTTCCTTAATAGGGTTGTGTTCAAATTTTATTTTTGATTGATTTCGTTCCTTTACTCTTTTTTTGTTGAAGAGCTATTATTGGAAATTGGAATTATTTCATACATTGATGTGTATAGAAGGTTAAATATTACACAAGAACACAGTTTGTTTATTTCTTTTTGTGTTTTTCAAGTTTATGCTTTCCTTTTTGGTTGTAGGGTTAATATTTGGGGATCATTAGAAGTAGATTTTGATATGTGTGACTTTCCATTTCTGGTTTTTGATGCTTGATTAGGAGAATGGAGGCAAAACCCAAGAGGAGAACTGTTACTGAGAATGGTGATACAGGAGAGGACTTGGTCCTTGCAACTTTGATTGGTAATGGGGACGATGTGGGTCCTCTTGTCAGGCATGCATTTGAGATGGGACGGCCTGAACCGCTTGTTCAGCAGCTCAGATATGTGGTTAAAAAAAAGGAAGTTGAGATTGAGGACCTATGCAAGACTCATTACGAGGAATTCATTCTCGCAGTTGATGAACTTCGTGGTGTGCTGGTTGATGCTGAAGAACTCAAAAGTGACCTGGCAAGTGATAATTTTAGGTTGCAAGAAGTGGGTAGTGCCCTTTTGGTGAAGCTCGAGGAGCTTGTTGAGTCTTATTCAATCAGGAAGAATGTGCACGAAGCTATTAAAATGACAAAGATCTGTGTTCAAGTTTTGGAACTTTGTCTCAAATGTAACAATCACATTTCTGAAGGTCAATTTTATCCTGCATTGAGAACTGTGGATCTTATAGCAAAGAACTATCTGCAGATCATCCCTGTTAGGGCAATAAAAATGGTTATAGAGAAGAAAATTCCAATTATAAAATTGCATATTGAGAAGAAGGTTTGTAGTCAGTTTAATGAATGGTTAGTGCACATAAGGAGCTCAGCCAAGAATATTGGACAAACAGCCATTGGTCTTGCTGCTTCAGCACGCCAGAGGGATGAAGAAAT